CTTCCTGTCGGCCCCTTCAGGCACTGGCAGCTGCTCTAAGGTCACCCTGGAGCCTTCTCTTCTCCAGGCTGAACAGCCCCAACTCCCTCAGCCTGTCCTTGCAGGAGAGGTGCCCCAGCCCTCTGATCATCTTCATGGCCCTCCTCTGGCTCTGCTCCAACACATCCATGTCCTTCCTATGTTGGGAGCCCCAGAGCCGGATGCAGGACTCCAGGTGGGGTGTCATGAGAGTGGAGTAAAGGGGCAAGCCCAGAGAATGGACGAGAGTGTGGTGGAAATGAGCCCTATGAACCTCAGAGCCATAAAGACCTCTACCTCCACAAATCCCCAAGACATCAGGAAAGAGAAAAAACGCGAAAGGAGGCAACTATCAGACTGAAAAAAACAACCACAAGATCACACCCTAAAGCCTAGAGATGCCATCAGTACAGTGCTGTACACTGAAGCATTTTCCAGGTCATCATTTTACCCTCCTGGGTTCTTAATTTCAAGTGTTGTTTCAATGTGTGTTGCTGTGCAAGAACAGCCAGCTTCCTGAGACCAAGAAGCCTGCAGGCAGGCGGCATTTGGCAGAGGTTTTTTAAGACTAGCAGAGAGAAGAGGAGAACCAGTAGTACCAGCACCAAATAAACCATCAATGGCTATGGGGACGTGGCAAAGCAACTGCCCTGTGTGCACAGATGTGTATCCTGCTCAGTTCCCTTGACTTCTCCTGATGGCTGAGGTCTAATATCTGTTTTGGCCTTTATAAGTGACTGCCTCAGACATAGGTTTCCAGATGGCTATAGGAATGTGCACGGCACAGTAGGGAGGACCCAGGGCAGGTCTGGGCCCTCTGCTGCTACCCAGTGCAGCCCGGGCAGCTGGAGCAGACCCTGGCAATGGTTGTGATAACACAGCGATGACCCTCAGCCACCAGCCCCGTCCCCAGCTTGGGTGTCACAGTCCTGGACCACGACCGACACAACCGGGTATAGCCAGAGATGGACGTGGCATTCAGGACTTTCCGTGTTTGGACATACAGATGCACCTCAGGATATTTTTCCTTTTCTGGGCACTTTGTGCCCTGCGCAAATCCCAAGCTCTCTACCACCCGAAAAGTTGGCTTTGGAATACGCAGTCAGGGATGAACGCTGCCACGTTTCCTTCGCTCAGCCAGCTGTGGCTGGCAGGCAGCTTTCGGTGACATCTGTGTGTGGGTGCGGTACCCGAGTAGCCTGGGAGCTCTCTTTGGGGAGGGTGCAGCCTCGTTACACCCACAAAAATGGGGGGCTGGTGCCAAGGGAGGTGGTGCTGCTCTCCTCCCTCACCACTCTCACCCTCCCTCTCACCTCCCCTCATCTGATCACAACACCACTTGACGAGCTGGATCAGTCCTTTGGTCTGATAAAACCTCAAAGAGGGAATCCTAATTAAAAAAAAAAAAAAACATCAACTAAAAGCAGTTTTCTGCTAAATCAGCTCACTGATCCAACTGAAATACGGGGGTACAGACGGGCCTCTCACCGTGACAGAGCAGGCGGGGACACCGACGCTTGTGCCCACAGTCTCCCTTTCACCAGGCTATGAAGTGAAATGGCATCCTGAGATCACTGGGACTTTGACGTCCACTTCCCATCTCAGTAAACGAAACTGAGCTTGCATCCCCTACCTGGACTACAGCTGCATGTTCATCTCATTTTACTTTTGTTTTCTAAAACACGAGACAAACTCCTTCCTTGCTTTAAAAGCACATTTTACATGCTAAAATGGCTTTTCCAGAGCATACAGAATAACGATGACAACAAATGATAACTTCTCTTCCTTTGGGCTTTGGGGGCTGGCAGAAGGGAAGGAGAAGGCTGTGACCCCAGTGTCGGCAGCAGGGACATCAGAAGGATGCAGGCAGCCAGCGCCCTTGGTGAGCACGAGTGGGGAGCCCTTGTCTCTTCTGCAGGAGGGGCTGCAATCAGAAAAGTTCAGAGCGTCCATAGGAAACAAAGATCCCCCACTCTGGGACTCATTAACGATACTAATCCTTCTGCACAATAGTGTCCACCAGGAGAAGTCCTAAAATTCCGACTGTCAGGACTCAGAGCAAATTAAATATGCTCAGTACACTCCTACACAGCCCTCTGAACTGCAGCCTACACGGTTGTGCTTTATCATGGATCTAGGATTTCCAGTATTAATTGCCGTTATGCTTACATTACAGACATGTGACACTTCTGTCATAAAAAAAATAAAGATCTTACGAACATAAAACTACATGTGGCTACAGGAAGGCAGATGAATTGTGGAAACTAAAGATTCTCTTTAGGCAAATTTATCTTTAATGACCATTGACTAAAAGAGGGATATAGAAATTTACTTGAATAATTAATGAATATATTTCACTATTATGCATTTATTACTCATTAAACAACCATAAAGATTAATTTTTAATTATCATTTAAGGAGAAATAGGGTTAACCTTTAATTTTTTTGTTTTGTAGCATATTTGCAGAGTGGTTTGGGGGACTTTCGAAGATGACCAAAGGGGAAGATATTAGCCAGTTCTTCTAAGATATATGATAAAACCCTGACCTGTGCCACTGCCTGCTGGGAGGGCTTGCTGGAGCTGGCACAGAGCCCCCAACACCGCAGGGCAGCACGGCCCTGAGATCTGAACCCACGTAAATTAACTCAGACAATTGAAGTAGTGAACGAATTTTATCAGCTCTTTAAAATATAATTCATGCTTTTTACTTTGCTTACTTATGCTTATTTAGCTCTTACTACAAAAACCCATTACATATCTGATATAAGGTAGACTGTCATACCACAACAAATGGCGCATATGTAGCAACACAAACTGATACTCTCCAATGCAAAGCATGTCAAGAGCACCAAGGTGGGGACTGCACCCAGCTTTCCTTCACCCAATCTCATTACCCAAGGAGCGAAAAATATATATCTGTTCCCCAGGGTCGAGGACATCAAAGATTTTCTTTCCTGCTTCCTCCAGGTGACCCATCTAGTTGTTCAATGTTTCCAATTGATTTACTTTTGTGTAGAATAATCTGGCTTCAGAGCACCACAGATTTAAAACCAAAATGTGAAGAGGAACGCCGATCAGTCAGATAAATCTTTTTCTTTAGTCACCAGGATTAAGTAACAGCTAGATGGCAAAAAAGAGGAAAGGAAAGGAAAGGAAAGGAAAGGAAAGGAAAGGAAAGGAAAGGAAAGGAAAGGAAAGGAAAGGAAAGGAAAGGAAAGGAAAGGAAAGGAAAGGAAAGGAAAGGAAAGGAAAGGAAAGGAAAGGAAAGGAAAGGAAAGGAAAGGAAAGGAAAGGAAAGGAAAGGAAAGGAAAGGAAAGGAAAGGAAAGGAAAGGAAAGGAAAGGAAAGGAAAGGAAAGGAAAGGAAAGGAAAGGAAAGGAAAGGAAAGGAAAGGAAAGGAAAGGAAAGGAAAGGAAAGGAAAGGAAAGGAAAGGAAAGGAAAGGAAAGGAAAGGAAAGGAAAGGAAAGGAAAGGAAAGGAAAGGAAAGGAAAGGAAAGGAAAGGAAAGGAAAGGAAAGGAAAGGAAAGGAAAGGAAAGGAAAGGAAAGGAAAGGAAAGGAAAGGAAAGGAAAGGAAAGGAAAGGAAAGGAAAGGAAAGGAAAGGAAAGGAAAGGGAGAGAATTTTTTTAACATCTTGCGCCTAGATAATATTTACAGAGGTGCTGTTGGGAGGGAACTGTGAGGGAGCTTCTCAGAGAGAGCTGTTTTACTCGCTGCAGATTGAGTCTGTTTACCACTAGAGTAATAAAGCAAACTAATCAACCTGCACTAGGAAATCCCAAAGTTTAGATGCATAGATTTAGCAGCCTTGCCTACAGCTGCTGGGCAGACAAGTGTTCTTCCACAGCTAGCTCACTGCTGAGGGCTTTATGAGGAAAGTGGGAAGTCCACACCTGAAGCTGCTGAGAAGACTGGACTGGGACTCCTACTCCCAAATCCCACCTCTCCCCCTCCCTGTCACTGCTCTCCCCAAACTGGTCTTGCTGTCAGAGGTATGAAATGCCGCTTATTGCTATCGCCTTCTACAACTAGCAGCAACTTGCATCATGCTGAAGAACACGACTGCACGTGACAACGACAAAAAGTCCCCAAGGAAGTCTTCTTCCGCTGCCCCAGACCATGGAAAACACCTCATCCCCCCTGACCCATCGCTGTGCTTCAGAGCCTTTCTGCTGTGAGCACTGCGACAGATGCCGCAGCGCTGGCGGGGTGCAACAGGAGCAGCGGATCTCGTGTTTTTTTCACAGAGTTAATACAGAAATACTATAGAAGTGGCAAGATTTCAAAGACAGCTCCAGAATTGTTGTCACAATTCAACTTACCGCTGAGCGGGTCAGGAATGGTGTATTGCTTTTTTCTGCTCGAAGTGGAAGTCGAGGAAAGCTTGCGAACCAGCGCTCCTTGGTTGCTCGCAGGAGCATCGCTCTGCTGGGCCTTCCTCAGCTGGACCATCTGTTCAAGTTTCTTCAGCCTTTCTCGTGAACGAGAAATGAACTGAGGATTGTGGATTTCTAGTGCTTCCTAAACAAAACAGAGAAAATGCTTTGTTTTAAAAGAATTAAAAGGAAGAAAACCATGTGATGTGCATCTAACTTGGTTCAGTTTATCAACAAAAATGATTGCTTGTCTGTACGAAAGTTAGCAAACTGCCTTGCTATCTGTCTTTACCTTATTACTGTTAGCAAGCTGCCTTGGTGTGAAATTTCCAGATCAGACAAAGGAGAATTTCTGAAAAAAAACCCCAACTTTCAGAAAATACATCCAAAAGGCGTTGAATCACATATTTTTGTAAGTTATCCAAATTAAACTTCTTGATGTTTTGCCTGTTGCCTTGTCTCACCCCATCACCGAAGCAGCTTGTCACTGACAGTTCACAAACTTTCCTGTTTATTTGGATTGTCATCCAGATCCGTTCATGGGGGATCCAGAAAGAAAACGCTTTCCAGTCAAAGGCTGCTTCAACATTCAGGAATGTCTCAGGATGGAAAACGGGAGTGAAAACTGGTCTGCAACGTGTGCCAGAGGAGAAGGCAGTGAAGCACATCTGCTGCTGGGGCTTGGCATCAGCCTGGGGTCATTCTGGGCATCGCCGGGGGGTCATGTCCACCCCTACGGCTGCCGCTCGGGGTGCACATTCGAGAAACTGGCTGTTTCGAGGTAAAATTTCATAAGTGTCTCTGGGTAATTTGTGAATCCATTGTACAGGAATGGTCAAAGCTCCATCCCTGGAAACATTCAAGCTCAGGCTAGATGGGGCTCTGAGCAACCCGATCCACCTGACGATGCCTTTGCCCATGGCAGGGGGGTTGGACTAGGTGGCCTTTCAAGGTCCCTTCCAACCCAAACTATTCTATGATTCTATAATTCCATGAATGGCAGCTGGGGCTTAAAGCTGGGAGCTTTTACAACCAGACAGCCAAGCAAGTCTTGGCAGCTTCTGCAAGCTACCCAAACTTCACTGGAAAGGAGAAAACTCAAGGAAATGTGAACTTCTGCCCTCAGCCACTTCCCAGGAAGCAAAAGCTATCCATGAAAAAAAAAAAAACCCTCAAATTAATAATAAATCAATCAATCCCTCTATCAATAACAACAATAACAACAAATCGCTATTTTACCTGCAGCGTCCACGGGGCTGGTGGAGTTTCCTCAGGCTGGGAGCCAGTTTCTGGCTGGGTGAGCGCATCGTTTTTCTCACGAGCAACATCTGGCAAGTGAGCCGTGGATAGCGTTACCCTGCTGGCTCGCTCCTCTTCGTCCTCCTCCTTGCACTCCCTTATTTTGTCACTTGAACCACAGAATTCATAATCACCTTCGAGAGATTTAAAAGTTCATTAAGAGTGCATGGTTAATTTTTTATCGGGTTCTCCACCTCATTAGACATAGAGGGCAATTTCTGAAATAAGAATGCCAAGGTATTATTAATAGGCCTCATTAAGCAGAATAGATCAAATCTAATCGTAGGTGCTACTCACTGCCCTGTGACACCCAGAGTATCTTTCACATTAAGCCAGACATCGCACCAAAGCGTAATTAAACCGCGTGGATGCTTAGCTCCGTTTGCTGGTATTCGCTTCCCAGAAGCGATACCCGGCTGTAACACAGTTGCATCATGGAAAGCAAAGGAGATCGTGCTGCAACTTGCAGTTTGAGTTCATTTCAATTTATTGCACGTATTGTAGCAAATAACATATTGTTATGGACTTTAATCGTATATCATTTCTCTTTAACCATATTGAGATTTTCATAAACAATACTCTCTCTTTTTTCTTTGCTGATAATACAGGTTGCTTTCTGTCTTTTCTATATATTCATCAGCCAGTGGAAAGACTCCATGAAAAAAAAAGCAAAAGGTTAATGTGCATTATAGCATATTATTATGAAAGCTGTCAATTCACATTGAGAAAAAAGATTATTTTCTACATTTCTAATTACGCTTTAATGCTCTATGACTGATACTCCCCGTACAAATTGGGACCAAAACAGGCTATGTGCTCAACAACCAGAATTGACAAGATTCTCATTCAGAGGACAGAATTAGTCCAAAGCAGCCAAGGAACTTCGGAAGTTTTTCGGAAGAGCTCCATATGAACTATTTTGAAAAGTCGCACTGGAGTACTTCTTCCTTGCCAAATAATTTGATTTCTAAAACTAAATATCTGGGAATAAAGCCCATTACTGTTTTATTTCAATTTTTGGTTACAATAAACTTAAAATATTTTCCTCTTTATGACATATTGTACGCATTATATTGTACTTAAAAAAAATACTAAAATGATCTGCGTTGGGCACATTTGCCTTATAAAAGCCTAAACTGTATTTCCTCCCTAATACTGTTCCTGTTAACATTTTGGAAAAAAACTTGAAACCTGTGAACATGAAATTAAATTCCTCGATAAGCCAGGTTTACAGCAGCGTCGATTAACTTTATCTTTGATAGATTTCAGTGGATGCTTCACTTCTGTAAAACTAAGTCACTTCTAGTTAAGAAATGGCATGATTTACATTCAGGCACTGAAAGGAGAAGGTAGCTTTCTCTCATCTAAATGGGTGTTATATTCTGTAGATTTATAGTCAATAACGACAAAGTTTTGCCAACCTGTCTACAAAAAATCTGTAAGAACTGCTGTAAGAAAAAAGGCTATATGGCCATTATTGCATTTTTAAGGTATTCTTGGAGTCAATTTATCACAAACCTATTGACACTAAAGACAAATTAAACTATAGTGTATCTCAGTTGCCTTCTGCAAAAACACCTTATGCATGAATACAGCTGCTTGTGTCCTCTCCATTTTATCTATTTGAATAAATGTTGGAATTAAGACATCCCAGCTGGTGCTGAACTAGAAGAAATTATGTTTTACATGCTGAAACCTTGTTGAGAATCAGTTATGAAACCTTTTCCTTTTTCTTCTTCATCATAATCTCTCCAAAAGAGGTATTTCGTGCTGTGCCTGTTGACCACATAGTTCAGGCTGTTGTGTCAAAAAGAAAAATCAAAAAAAAGATTGCAGGAGTGAAAGAAAGGTATTGGAATAAGGTTGTAAAAAGAACCTCATTTCTGGTGTTTCTTGGCTGGCCTGGGAATGCTTGACTCTGCAATTTTAATGTTTCTTCAAGACTTTCCTGACTCTCTTACAAAGCAAGCCTATCTTTCTCATTTTAATCTTGTTTTCTATTAACCATAGCAATGTATACAGTCAGATCAGTTGATTGATCTCTCACCAGATGACTCATACCCAGCACTTAAAGCTGGACAAAAATGGACTGACTTTCCATTATTTCACTTTTTTCTTTGAGACTGATCTCATCTTGTTATTGAAACCATATTCCTAACAACCACAGTCGGATTTGTACCTTACTTTTTAGGAGCTGGTTTTGCCCGTGAACATTTTCTTCTGAGAGGATTCTTGACGAAGCTTTTATATTGCACATGCTACTGGATGCAGAGACTTTTGGTTTCAGCATGCCCTGGGCTTGGGTCTCTTTGGATTTGGAGGTGCTTTTGGGGGGATCTCTCTTTTTCAATGAGCCATCAGTAGCAGCAGTGGTTGCTTTTCTGGATGCTGGATCTGGAAGAGAGCCAGAGGCTGCTGCGCTGCTCCTGCCCGTGGTGCATTGCTGCTTCTTGCTTCCCAAGAGCATTTGTGTTCCTGTGAAAAACATAAAAAACAACCCCAAGATCTGTAACATGGGAACATTATTCTTCTCAGTCCTCTGTTCCTCATAATTTTTATTTCCTGTGAAACCGCTTTCAGTCATATATTTTAAAAGTTGTAACTGATACAAATTTTACCAAGACTGCCCGTGCAGCTGCGCTGCAACAAAATGTTACTGATAGAAATAATCCCAGAGGATACCCTTCATAAAAATAAACTGCTATTCTAAATAATATACACACACTTCAGCGTGGGATGAGTCAAGGTACCTCTGACAAAAGGGAATGCTATGTGTCTTTTTCTTGTCTCATCTTCACTCGAGGGGAACATTTTAGATCGGTAAATCCTGGTCAAAATTATAATTATGAATCCATTTTGGCTGTGATGTGAACAGAGGTTAAAGAGTTTTGAGGATCAGGGTTTTAACCTCTCTGAAGACGAGCGGCTGCCTCAGAAGCATCCCCCATCTCCAACACTTCTAGTGCTCTGTTCTGCCTCTGTGCAAAGCCGCAAGCAGGGACCAGCAGCAAAAGTTCCCATTTGTAGAAGATATGCTTTCCCCTGAAATTATTTTGGTAAGAATGGTGTCGCATAGCAGCTACAACTACAGGACCCTGCCGTGTCAAAAGTGACAGGGCTAGTCCGGTAAGCTCCAGGCTGTACAAACCTTGAGACATGAGCCAAGCTGAACACCACCACTGCCAGCAAAACCCTAGAAAATGGAGAGTGTGGGCAAATAAAAGCACACAGAAGAGTCCATTCTCCAAGGTACATTTTAGGCAGAGCATTGAAAGGAGAAGAGCTAGATTCGAATTCATGAGAAAATGAAATCCATATAATTAGGGCTAGCATGGAAAGGGCATCGGGATCAGCAAGAGGGGGAGAAAGAAGGAGCAGATGTCCCTAGACACAATTCGGCAGTGGCCCCTGGTAGGCAGGCACCCACATGGCCACGCACACAGCATGACTCTGCTCTTCTTTTTTAATCATGTGCATACATTGCCTGTTGGTTAGTCCTAGTCACAGGCTGACTTGAGACCTAAAGATTTACGTAGATGGAAATGACCAATAACTGTTCGAAAACTCTGAAAGAAGGCAAAGGAGAGATTTGGCAGGTACAAGGGAAAAGACCTCAACTGGTTTCAGACATAAGCATAAAACCAGTTCAACCAGGCAGGGATTGACTTGTTTTCTGTTGTGGACATAAGACATTTAATAAACAACTAGAGTTTCATGACAAACACTTTTTAAAAAGTGGCCACGTAATCCTTTTCACTTCTGGCTCGTTCTCAGCAGCTGCCCCTCTCTAAACACTTCTTTCCAGTGCCTTGGCTGAGGACAGAGGGAAGATTAGAAGTGTTTCCTTCTTTGACCCAATCCATGAGAAAGGGCATCACACCACATCATGTAAGACACTTCCTTATCTCATAGCCCTTGAGTAAAATTAGACCCTGCAGTGCGGTGCGGGAAGCTTTTGTTTCACTTTCCCAATCCTTAATCCATTCACAATAGATGAGAAATATTCTTTGCCACAAAATGATGGTCTCCTACATATTTTAGTGATCTGAATGGCTCATGTTTCTTTTTGATCATCCTGCATTTCTGAGGAAATCAGAGGCGTTGAGGTACAGCATCTAGTATTTTCCCTTACCGTGCAGACCAGAAAGGTCATCATCCTGCATTTCTGAGGAAATCAGAGGAGTTGAGGTACAGCATCTAGTGTTTTCCCTTACCGTGCAGACCAGAAAGGTTTTAACATTTTTCTGTGAAATGAACTGCCTATACAGAGAGGACGAGTCAACTTCTCTGAGGAACCTCTAGTGAGAGATCCCTGAAGATCAGCATAGACAGAAAAATTAACTTTTTTCAAATTAACTTCATTGAGATAAATCCGGTCCTAAGCAATTTCACAGCCACACAGAAAATCTGGTCAAAGCGAAGAAGTGAATACAGAGCTCCCAAATTCTAGGCTAGCATCCAAGCTCTCCCTCTTCTCTCTGGTGTAACTTAGTTTTCTCCTTGCTCTTCACACATTGCAAATATTTGCCTTATCTTTTGTCAAAACTGAGGTCTCTTCTCCGATGAAAATAGTTTCCACTGAAATACTTTCAATAAACTGGAAAGACTCAATTCTGTACATACACTGAGTTGGAGTTCATGCACATAGAGTGATCTGCTCCTTCATTCCCTGACTGATCCCATACCTGCAGTTACACACTGTGTCTCTACAAATGTTTTATGACAGAGAGAGGGGGAAAAAAACATTTGGACAGATTAATGGGGTCATGGGCTTCAAAGAGTGTTTGTGGCAGGAGGTAGAAACAGGCAGCACAGTAGGAGAAGATGAAGAAAGCAGCAGGTAGCACTAAGTAACTGCAGAGCGGCAGAGAAGGAAGTCTTTTCACAAAGGCAGCCAAGATACTAGAAGGATAGATGGGGAAAAAAAGAGGGCAGCTAAGCCACAGCAAGAACTTGAATGGAAAACAGATTATCTCTTTAAATCATCTTTTAAATTAAAATACTTTACTGGCCAGCAGAAAGCAGGGAGGAGAAGAAAAGAAAGTGGAAAGGAGAAAAGAGTGTCTGCTCATCCAAGGCAGCATCACAGTAGGAGATAATTTGCCTTCATATCAAGAAACGGTCTGTGCAACAAATGCGCGTGTTGTAAAGCCAAGCAGCTTCTTCACCGAGATTGTCAGACCGCTTAAACCACTGCTGTGTCCCCAGGAGAGGCTGTTTGCTCTGGCTGGGCATTGGTATCCAACACCACAGCCTGAATCGTCAGGCTGGTGAAAATGGGCTGCAAGGTAGCAGAACAAAACAGTGGAGACCAGCGCAAGTGAAGGAGCTGTCTTTAAGTCCTATCTCTCCTCTCTAACATCTTCAAATATGCATCTGAACAAAAGAAAGAAGAGTTGCCTGGAGTATTCACAGTCCATTTACTCCGAACTACCAAACTAGCTATTTGTGGATATCGGCTTCCAAATGTAAGTGCTGTAACCTTCAAGAACTGAGAATAAAGTCCCAGGAATTTTCTTACATATAGTGCAAATGGAGACAGCCTTCTTTTTTGCACTGCACCCCTGCCCTGCTGAAAGAAATGCCACCGGTGGCACTCTGCCCATAAGGTCTGGGGAATCTCTACAAAGGCGTGGATCAAGAGAGCAAGAAAAGAAAGGCACGAAATGGGGTCTAAAATTAGAAGAAGGTGATGGCTGCTTCTTAGCATTTTATGACAACAAAAAGATGCCTAAAAAAGAATTAGAAAACCCCAAGACTCCTCATGAAATTCAGGTATAAAAACACTGCATCCTTTCTGCATGAAAAGTGTCTTCCTTAGATCTTGTACTAATATTATAACTAAATCTTGATCCTTATTAAATTCACACTATGGCGGGGATTTTTTTTTTAGTTAATTAAGGCAATAAGAAAAGGTGCACCTTGTTCTTGTCTAACATTGAAGGCAATCAGAATAATAACCGAGCCAATTTGCTAAATTCTTTCCTCTAACTCCCTCTTGAATTAACCTTTCAATTCAAACGGTCTACCCAGGCGCAGGCAATCCCCAGGAAAACACAGCAAAGCAAACCAGACGTGGGCTCCAAAGATCAGCTCCCTCATCCTCAGAGCAGCTGTCAATTACCTTAACTAACGAATGCAGATACAGATGATATTTAGAAAAAAAGAAAAAGGCAACGGTACTTAAAGGTAAGATCAGAGAGTTTCACTCTGTACATTCTGGATCCGTTTTTAATATATTGCGTGGGGAATTAGGACTGTTACTCTCATTAAGACTATCTGGAATTGTATATCTAAATCCCCATGCACGATGCTTGAAATATATATGCCCTTCTGAGAATAGCTCGAATTGCAACTGGATGACTAGCGATATATGTTTTTTCTATTATCCCAGCTGAAGAAAGACTTTAAAACTAATGAACAAAGACATGAAAGTGTAATGCTTTGGGAGATACAGGAGAGCAGAACTCGAAGACACAGAAAGCAGAATGACTCTTAATAAAATTCAGTGAATATAGATCCTAGCTGTAAAAGTTCAGCTGCTTATAGGAGAAAAAGCTAAGGTACAAAATCATGATTACATTCAGAGAAAAGTGACTTTTGCCCTATGCAAGAAAGAAAAAGACAACAGTTCAATTTTAAAATAGTGCCTTACTGAGAACCATATGATATTGCAGGAGCTAAAAATATTCTGTAAAACCAGGGGTAGGTTTTCAAAAGCTCTTTTTTTTTAAAAAAAGAATCCTTGATCTCCGAGTAAAATGAGTATATTGTTTTACTGTAAAGTATCTTCTTACATTTCCCTCCCTCTCCCTTCAGGGGGTTTTGCTAACAGGAAGCGACCCTGCATTACAGCAGGTTAAACTTGCCTTGCCTGGAAACATGGTCAATTCAGGCAAACATTCCCTTTCCCATTGTTGCTACTTTTTTTTTTTCTTTTCACTTTACAACAGGATAATGCAGCTTTTCATACTTTCATCTAACACTCTTCCTAGCGTTTCAGTGTGGATTTTTGTCAATTCATGACAAAGTACTTCTTTGAACTTGGCCAAAGCTCATTTTAACAGACGCAGTGCTACAAATCCTCCACGACCACCAAGCAAGCCTGACAAGAGGCGGCTGGAGAAGAAGACACACAGTGCTGGTTCACCGTGTGTCACTAACGAGATCAGACATCACCACTGTAGGTAGGCTTTACATTATAGACCACCTGCAGGGTTTTTCTTTAATTTAATAAAAGCTCCACGCCCTGGGAGGCTGAGCTCTCCCAGACCTCCGTGATGGGAGCTGACACTGCCAATACCCCAAGCAGAGAGGAGCGGCAGTTAATGTTCCTCAAATATAAGAAACGTCTACCTTGCTCAAAATTTAAACCCAGGCATATGTAGGCGTAGGTTGTACAGAGCCCACATGTGCCTCAAGCAGGCAAGCCGTGATCTGTAACCCAAACCAAGACTCCAGCCTTCTGATGACAA